TACTATTTCAATAGGAAACACGTGAACACAGGAAAGAAAACATAGCTTGGTCTTTAAAGCTATATGACTCTAATGCAATAATTTTGCACTCTGTGCTCACATCTTCTCCATCAGACTTTACAGTTACCATGGAGAGAAAGACAACAGAGAGACACATTATTTCCATAAACATGAGCTGTGTCCATGTAGGGAGTTAGTCTGGCTTACACTTTATGTGTTGAGTTCACACTTGGATCATAGTTTCCAACCCTCAGCTGAATATTTCCATGTAGATGTGGCAGCTGAGAGCAGATGTTAGTGTTTTCATCATTATCTGATCTTTTTAATTAATTGTGCGGCTGTTTTATGCGATCACTGTGAGGTCTGAGATTGGTTTTGCCTCGTACACACCATCTGCTGTTGTAAATCACATGTGCTTTGCAGCTTTTTATTGGTGCTTGTCCAGATGTGGTAGTGATGTTGTCATGAACCTTCCCTTAACTCCCTCAGACATTTTTGAGAAACAGATCACTATCGCTTCACGTTTGGTGCTGCTATGTACGTTTTCTATGTGCACCCAGTAAAAAACCCATCAAGGGCTCCAGTCCTGCTTGATGGTGTGGAAAGGCCCTCAATCTCACACATCAGTGATAGGAGAGGAAAAGATTGGGTGAAGGGCAGAAAGAGAGTTTGGACTGGGACTCATGCCACTACAATTATCCTGTGAGAGTAATTGCTTTTGGCAGCACTCTCTGTACGATCACAGAGCAAAAACATACATGTGAGAAAATTGTGCAAGCCGATACAGGGTGGTGTGGGGCACTGACACCATTTTACAAGTGTATTATTTACTCATATTGGATCTCTGCAAGCTTCTATCAGCATGTTTCTAAACACGGTGCTTACATTTCAATTCTCATGTGTGAAGTAAAGAGTCCAATCAAGCTCTGGATAAAAATATCCCAGTGTTGATTGCGTAAGGAATATTTTATGGAAGTTAATCTCAAATTTATGCACTAATAGTTTATGTACATATAACCAAGGGGTGTTTGAGAGGGGAAGCATGCAACTCCTAAAAAAAACAGAAAAAAGGGTGTGCTGTGAATGTAAGGGAAAGAAGGGCAACATACTGGCGAAAAGTCTTGTGAAAGCGGATTGGCTGATTACCTTGTTAATAATGCCTAAACTTAAAATAGCAAATTTATATGTGCAAAAATATGAAACTCGAGAGGAAGGCATATGTGAGATTATTAAGATATTTGTTGGTGAGGCTTTAGTTCCCAATTCTTCTCAAGTTTCGTCACTTTGTGCAGTTTATGTGATGATGTTGTACTAGCAGACAAGTCTGACAAATATCATCCAGCATGACAATGAGATGAGTTGAGACAAAATGCCTATAAATGTTGAAGTGGGTAACAGCAGCAGCCTGGTTGTTTCTCTTGGCTGTTGTCTTCTTTTAACTGGATGTGCCACTTCAAAGAGCAAACAAACATGAGAAAAGAATACATTTAGAATTTCTGGAGGCAGGCCAAGTATCACCAAAATACACTTAAAAATATGCTTTTAATCAACACAGCATGTTCATTATGGCCTGCATGACATGCTACACTTGCATGTGAAGAAGCCACGTTTCTCAAGTGGCCTTTGTCATTAGAGTCGTCATGTAAGGGTCTTGCTGCTGAGACATCATGCCATGTTCAGTGTCCTGTAGTTCAAAAATCCAGCTCATGCAAGTTAATCAGCCGCTAATGAAGGTGAGTACATTGGGCTAATTAAGCAGAGAATATGTGATTAAGTACAGGGGAGTTAAGATGGTGAGCAGGAAATGGAAACATGGAACGATTAGATTTTATAATAGACCTTGGACATGAGACCGTTTCCATAATCTTACTGTGGTTGCACCATTAAGGAAGTAATTAGGTGGTGTTTGTTACTTAGTTTATTATGTGAATTTTATTTTGTTTTATTGAAATGAATATTACACTGATTAGGCCGTATTGGTGAAAATCCCAAAATCAAACGTAGGTTGTTTGAAATGAGGTATATTTAGGTATATATATTTGTATATTAAAAGTATTGTGTCTAATCCAGACAGACGACTTGCAGTGAGTGACTTCTATTACAGGTAGGGATGTAACGATTAACTGCGAGCCGGTTGAAAATCGATTTAAATATGTGATGATTCAAATCGGTTGAGATGCTAAACAAATCGCGATTCAATTAGGGTATATGAATGTATGTCTGAGAGGAACTTACTGTCTTTCGATGGTATTTTTTCTTTTCCTCTTGCCTCTGTATAATGCATTAAAGGTGCAATAGGTGATTGTTCACATCACGATAGCAATCATTAAGTTAAGTGGTCTAAATGTATTTATCTGTATTTATATATTCTGTGGAAGGTGTAGGACCAAGAAATGTTCGTCCAATCAAAACGCTCGGTCCGAGAGTTTTAATTGGCTTTCCTACCTGCCTGTCAACGTATGTATTAGCATCCCTCTGCGCAGACAGGATACGTCATCAGCACGTTCACGCACGCTGTGCAGACAGAGCGAGGATGGCAGACAAACATCAACAACCCGATCTTCCTTTCTGGTATTGTAGTACTTTTAAAGTTTTCTCACCGGTGAATGACACATGATGTAGCCAGCGGTTCTCAATTCCAGTCCTTGCGCCCCCCAGCTCTGCATATTTTGCATGTCTCTCTTAACACACCCGATTCAGATAACCTGCTCGTTAAAAGTGAGCTACGTCCATGAACTGTGTTCCGATCGATATAATCCTTACACAGTGTTCATTGCTCCCTACTCTCTGAGCAGGGGAAATCCGTTGAAGTTTACTTCACTTCAGAACATTCATTCACGGATTTGCGCTGCGCAGCGTCTTCACACACATCACACTCACACACACGTCTTCACATCCAGTGTGAGGACTGGAATTGGGAACCGCTGATGTAGCCTATTGTAGTAATGTTGATGTTGTCTGGAATTCTGGTCTGTGAGCGTATATGCGCTCAGGAGGCATGGCTTTGGGTGGCGATTGCAGGGAGGGTGGGATGTTCGCTTTCAGTGCTATCAGGCTAAAGTTAGCATTTTCCAAGATCTCCTACTGCACCTTTAAAGTTCATAAGTGCAGCGCTGCTTTGTTTACAGCGGAAACCAAGGAAATGCTCTAAGCGCCACCTGCTGGCAGAGAGTGAATTTGCGTCTCATTCAGCTAATCTGCTGTTTCTGTTTCATGCAGATATTTTTTATGCATAGTTTCACAAAACTGAAGTCAAACCATTCTGTTTTTGCTTCAAATTTCGAAATTATACAATCTAATTTAGATTAAAAACTGCTCATGTTGCATGTATGCAGCGTGTTTGTTTGGATCATGTTTAAAATGCAGTGGTTGCCTCTAATTTTAAATGGAAAGAGCACAGACAAAGCCTTAGTTTGTTTATATGAAGATATTTATTTTATTTGTGTTATTTATTTGATTTGGGGCTTGTTTTAAAATTTAAATTTAGTTTTGTTATTTACATTTACATTATATTTCAATTTTGTTATTTAGCAAACGCTTTTATCCAAAGCGACTTACAAATGAGGACAATAGAAGCAATCAAAACCAACAAAAGAGCAATAATTTACAAGTGCTATATTAGTATATTATTATAGTGTTATATTTCAATTTCACAAAGAAACTTACAGTATTATGTCCAAGCAATAATAAAAGGAAACATTTAATTTATTTGTCTTAAATCTCATTTTGTAAAAAAAAAAAAAATCGTGAATCGAATCGAATCGTGAGTTGACTGAATCGTTACATCCCTAATAACAGGCTAACTAGTTGCACCTTTCCTAACTTATTTAGCCATTCCCACACATCCCTCTTTCAAAGCCCATTCGGTTTATCCTGATGCTCAACATGTTGACTTTGCTTTGAATTCCATCAATCTTTATGCTTTGAAAATCAGCCAGAGTTCTGGAGGAAGAAGAGGAAGAAATAGCATATTAATTTCCTCTTTTAGAACTACTGCTGAAGTTGTAATTAAGTGTGATCAGTTAACCATCTTTGGAGATAAGTGAGCGTCTTTTTTCATCAGTGTCTTTTTCTGTCTCTCTGCGGTAAGCTTTAAATAAAGACATGTTGTTGGTGTGCAGGATAATAAGTCTTAAAAATGTATGAATCATTTTGCCCACACCATTACATTTAGACCTTACCGTGTGATGTGTTTGTTAAAATAGTAGAATATTTGTTCTTTGTTCATTATGTAGATTATCAGTAACAATGTACAGTAATCTTTTATTCAAATTCCTTTCTGTTTAACAAAAAATTCATAGTTCATGAGTCAAATGTAATATTTAATCAATATTTATCTTAGTAAAATCTAACTGGTAAGACTGGAAAGATAACTCTAACGATAACTATATTAGCGTCCAAACCAACGGACGGTAACGTTCTGTTTATTATAAGTGTGCGCTCCAGTTATCATGTGCCGCTTGAGATGTTCAAGCTCTCTAAAGTTGGTGGATTTTGATTGGCTGTCAATGTTTTTATTGTTCTTCAGCTAGAAATTCATTTTTGACAGTGATTTAAACTATATTGTTTCTCTGAATTCTGGACTTCCCTATTCTCATAGAAATAGAGTGAGTTAGTATAACTACTTTATAGTTGTAGTTGTCGTTATCGCCCTTGGTGTGAACAGGCCTTTAGCATACAGCTCGATTTGCCAGATAGAAAAACATATTAGGGTTGTAGTGAATGAATTGTTATTAATTGTTATGTGACAAGATCACAGCCCTTTGATTGCAAATGTAGTGTGCGGTTCATTTGCTCCGTTGAATGTCTCCAACTCTCTGCTGCCATAGTATGCAAATATATAAAACATACGTAAATTGCATGAGTTTATATTTACATATCTTTTTCTTTCCCCTCCCTTCTTTTCACATCTCTCTCTCTCCTTTTCTCTTGCTCTGACTTCCTCCTCCTATCTGCATCTCTTGTTCCTTCTCCCCTCCCTCTGTCTCTCTCTCTGCCAGCCGCCACCAACTTGGACTCGGAGAGCAAACGAACGGCCCACTTCCAATCGTCATGGCAACAGCATGTGAATGTGTTCGGCTCCTGGAGTAGGCCGGAGTGTGTGCAGGAACTGCACCAGGAGGCTCAGCTGAACCTACAGAGTCTGCTGCAAGGTAGGAGAGTCAGCTGCCAGCTCTTCGTCTGTGTGTTTCTGTGCCACTAGAGGTTGTGTAGCCCGATCATACGCCTGCCTGGATCTGCCTATCATTTGTTTTCGTTTTGTTTTTGTGGGTGTGTGTTTTGCATCACCTTGCATGTGTGCTGTCTGTGAATATCCGCCACTTCCATTCCCATTCTGTGTTTCCCAGTGCGTGTAAGAGAGGCACTATTTGTTTTTCTATTCCTCTGAGCATCCTCATGTTTTCCCTCTACTTGTTTCCCATCATTCCCCCTCTATTTCTGACTCATACTTTGTTCTTATTTATAATCCATTAGATTCATTTCCATTTGCAGTTAATACACAGAGTCTCCCTTTCTCTTTCGTTTTTTTCATTCGCTGAATAAATAAGCCAATGCTTGTGGCTCTTGCTGCTGTGAGTGTGTGACTGTACATGGTTGAATTTCCATCTTTTATCTCTTTCTTGTTTGATGTCAGCTATTAATATGTATCTGTGAGGTATGAGATGCTATTCTGGTTTAAGCTCCGCATCAGACTGAATGGGCAGCTGTTGCTTAAACAACAGTGAGTGGGTGGTCAGTGTTTACGAATGTGTGGCACTGTGCTATGTGCATAAACAGCAATTTGGTTTTCATATACTGTGGGTAAAGAAAAGAATCACCCCCCTTTAAAATAATCACATGCAGCCTGAAATTAAGATGGACACAGTTTTTGTTTTATCCAGCTGTATTTACTCAGTGCAACTTATAACATCCAAGTAAAAGATGTAACACTAACATGTCAGAAAAAATAAAAAAATAAAAAACTAGAATCACTGAGTTGGAAAAAGGATCACCCCCTTGTGTCAGTATTTTGTTGAACCATCTTTTGCTTTAATTACAACCTTTAGTCTGTTGGGACATGTCTCTACTAACTTTGCACATCTAGACTTTGCAATATTTGCCCACTCTTCTTTGAGAACTGCTCAGGTTCATTTTAATTTGATGGTGAGTGTTTGTGGACTGCAGTCTTCAAGTCATTCCACAGATTTTCAGTGGGGTTTAAGTCTGGGCTCTGACTAGAACATGCAAGGACATTCACCTTTTTCTGCTTCAACCACTGTGTGCTCAGTTTTCTGTGTGCTTTGGGTCATTGTCATGTTGGAAGGCAAACCTTCTTCCCATTGACAACTTTCTGGCAGAAGGCAGCAGATTTTCCTCAAGAATTTCACGGTATTTTGCCCCATCCTTTTTTTTACTTCTATCCTGACAAATGCTCCAGTCCCTGCTGCAGAGAAACACCCTCATAACAGAATATTACCAGCTCCATGCTTTACTGCAGGAATGCTGTTATTTGGATGGTGAGCTGGATTGGATTTCTGCCAGACATATCGTTTGGTGTTGAGGCCAAATATTTCAATTTTAGTCTCATCTGCCTCAGAATCTTCTAGATGTGTTTTGGCAAAGCTCAGTCGTGACTGCATGTGGCCTTCCTTGAGCAGTAGCTTTTTTCTTGCAACCCTCCCATTCAAGCCACATTTGTGGAGAATTTGTGATATTGTTGTCACATGCACACAATGACCACTCTTTGTCATAAATTCCTGTAACTGCTTCAGAGTTGAAGTAGGCCTCTTGGTTGTCTCTCTGATCAGTTTCCTCCTGTCTCTTTTATCCAGTTTGGAGCGATGTCCTGATACAGGGAGGGTCTGTGTTGTACCAAATACCTTCACTTCTTAATAATAGACTTCATTGTGCTTCTATAGGCATTGATAAAGCCTTTGACATTTTTTTGTATCCATCTTGTGACATATGCCTGTCCACAACTTAATCCTGGAGATCTTTTGACTGTCTTGTCACCCATAGTTGATTGTTTGCTTCAGTTGCACTACCAAGGACTGAAATGCTCCAGGAAAGCTCTTTTCATGCTGAAGTAAATAAAAAATGACCACAGCTGAAAGTCAAATAGCTTTGTGTGCCATTGAGAAGGCTATTAGCTACACCTGATTGCGTTTACAGGTCATTTTTAGGAGGGGGTGATCCTTTTTCAACTCAATGATTCTGTTTTTTTTCTCTAACATGTTGGTGTTATATCTTTCACTTGGATAATTTGCACTGGGTAAATACAGCTGGATAAAAAAAACTGTGTCCGTCTTCATTTCAGGCTGCAAAGAATCTATCATAGAAAAACCTGCTGGTTTACCATTCATTCTAAATATTGGGGAGACATGGAAGTCATGGCAGAGACATCGAGTATGGGGGTGTTTGTTTTGATTTTTTCAAATACCAACTGCGTTTCTTGAAAGTCGTGTACTGCACCTTAGTGAAATTTGCACGGGAAATCTTACACCCTTACACGAAATTCCTGACTGCATGGATTCCTATTGAAATTATTTTGTCTGTGAAATTTTGATAATCTTAACTAAAAATTTAATAAACAGAGGATTTGTTTTGGAAAGTCCATCTAGTTTAAAAAAAAGTTATGTTTTATCTAAAGGCCAATTGGCAGCTAATTAGCCGTTGACTATAAATATGTGCCAATATGTTTGTATATTGATGTAGCTGGTTTATCTTTTGTGGCCTGTCTATTTAAAATGTCCAAAATTATATTATATTATTATTATTATTTCTTTTGTGAAATTATCATAATATTTGATGGGATAACAGCACTGTGTCTTGTCCATATCTTTCACTTTCGTACTCATGCAGTGTTAGCCAATTAAGGGGCCCAGCAACATTAAAGAGATCAGGCATCCATAGTGCTTAAGCTAATCAGTGATATTGTACTTATACCCCTCCCCCCATGCTTATAAATTATTTCTGTTCAGTTATGAACTAGAAATGTGGTAGAAATTCCCCTACGCACATGACTTAAGTTTAACTGGGAGCGTCTACTGGTGACACCCGAGTCGGGCAACGTCTCACCCCTTTTGAACACTATCACTTGGGCCTAAAATCTCTAGTGTTCCACTATACCTGCTGCACAGCAGTAACCAGACAGACTCCAAGCAATGCCCTTTAATATGCTTTAATCACAGCCGGGAGGACCTCAAATCAATCACAGAAAATTCCCAGCATCAAAGATAAGACAGGTACATAGCAAAGGTAACATCATGTCACATTACATCATTCTACTCTATTATGATTGGTTGACTTATATGGCATATCGGCTAGTTCCTCAAATCATGAGATCGTATTGTTACTAGTATTTTCAGACAGACGACTAGCCATCTTGTCTTGTCCGTGTTTCATTATTGCAACACTACTAAAGGTTAGAACATTTTTGTTCCCTAAAACGTACTTAAAGGTTAGGCCTGCAGAAAAAAGGGAAATGTTAGTCATAATTTATGATCAACTGATTTTATAATTAATTTAAAAATGATTACATTTAAAATTTACTTCACAGAAACAAAGACCAAATGAAAAACAGACCAGACAAAAACTTCCCAAATTGATAAGAAAAGGGGCATTGTTGCTCTTGACCGCTTCCATTCCTCTACTGCATACACAAGACAAGGAGTGACCCATATTTAATAAATTGGTGGCTTTCAGTGAGCATCTTGTTAGGCGATGCTTTGAGGTCATTCATGACCACTCATTCACGCTTGAGTGGTTGGCATCTTGTCTAGGCGAGCCATTTGATTGGCTGATAAGAATGGAGATTTTTGAGTCCCATTAGACTGGCCCAAGATCAGGTCAGGGGAGGAGGGGAGGGTGTGTTTGAAATACCCTCTTCTCTCTCTCTCTCTCTCACACACACACACACACACACACACACACACACACACGTACGCAGTCTTGCTGTTACTTCTGATACTTGCTCCCATACATCATCTTTGAAGTTTTGATATTGGTCTTTGAAGCCTACCTTTCCACATAGGCTTGTATGATCCAATCACTGTTTCGGTGAGTTATGACACTCTATCTAGTTTACTTTCTTCTCTCTTGGTTGGAACTTACTTTAGTATGAATGTCCAAGAATGCTTAGCTGCATCCATTGTAATTCTCACATTTTTGCAAGTCTTTAAATTATCATTAACAACTTTGCTGAACTTTATTTATAACAATACCATTGAAAAGTTTGTAAGATTTTTCTAAATATTTTTTTTTAAAAAGTCTTCATGTGCTCAAAAAGTCTTTATGAATTTGAAATATTGTTGTGAAATATTACTGCAATTTAAAATAACTTTTCTATTTTAATGTATTTAAAAATGTAATATATTCCTTTATGGTAAAGCTGAATTCTCAGCAGCCATTACTCTAGTCTTTACAATCACATGATCCTACCGAAATCATTCTAATATGCTGATTTAATGCTCAAGAAACATTTATTATTACTAACAATGTTGAAAATAGTTGTGCAGCTTAATTTGTGGAATCTGTGATACTTTGATGAATAGAAATATTAAAAATAAAGTGCTGTAACAATGTAGAAGTCTGTACTGTCAGTTTACTGACTCCTTGCTGAATAAAAGTGTTAAAATCAGTGACCCCAGACTTTTGAATGGTAGTGTATAGATGGTAGGAAGGATGTTGCTCATATAGCAGAGCGTTTGGAAAAGTGAGGATCGATATGTATATTAAAGAGGACTTTGCCCTGTGGTTTGTGTGTAGAATGCTTTGCAAGTTGGCCAGTGTTTGCAGAAGCGGGTTCTTGTTACAGCTGCAGGGAACTAATAGCCATAACACATTCCAAATCACAACCATCTTTTTTTTTAAATTTCACTTTGCTTTCCATGGGATTTTACACATCAGATTGCATAGTTTGGTCCACCAATCTTTGCAGTGCAAGTGTTTCCTTGAGCAACTTAGGGTCTACGGCTAAATAAAGGATTGTCTCTCTGTGTATCTCATTAGTGTAGCGATTTGAAAGCCATCTGGTCAAGCATCATTCCTGGAATAGAACTGTCTCTATTCGGCGTGATAAATAAAATGCCAACACATATTTAAAAGTTGTGCATGTGGTGGTACACAGTGCTAGGCTGCAGTTTTGCTGCAGCCTCAATCTTATTTAAGTGGAGGTTTAGGATTTCAACTGTGTGCTCTGTTCAGCTCTGTCCCAGCATGTGAAGAGGGCTCTACTCAATGAGGCTAAACTTGGGGCTTAGGGCTATTGTTGACTCCGGAGGTATGCCATTGTCTTAGACGGCCCACCATTGCTAGGCAACCCCAAGTCTAAGAGTGTGGCATCCCAGATCAGAAAAAATGGGATTCCCCGCCCAAAAAAACCCCCCCACCATCGCACACACAGACCATATTATTGAGGACCTCTCATAGACTAAATGGTTTATATACTATGATAACATTCACTAATCCTGAAGACATTTTTAGATTTAATGCGAAACATGATTTGGCCGATTTATGAGCCTTTCAACAACCTGAATGTCCTCACAAGGCAGTATTTGACATTTGATGACATTTTTAAAAATGCGGCTCTCATTAATAGAACCAAACCAGTGCATACTTACTAAACAGTAAAGGATAAAGACCTAAATGAGTGGAGGACAGTGCTTTAGTATGTGTGTTTTTCAGTATAGAGTGGGAGGGGTTAAAGAGAATGTTTTGGGGGATTAGAATGGCTACAAGAATGGGGTGGGGTCTTGTGAGGGGAGTCCGTGGAATGAATGCAATGGTAATTATTCTGTTTACAAGAGCCCAAGGGAACATTTCTGACAAAGAGGGAGAGAGATTTCATTAATTGATTTCAGTGTCTCCTAGTGCTGTTACTAACTTTAAAACTAGCATGTTGTGTCTGTCTACTCAGATTTTGAGGAGCAGTTGTATGATAACAGAGTGACAGGACATACATTCAGACATCCTTCCTCTCAGAGCTCAGAGGACACATCAGCCACTCTCAGCCGATCCCCTTCCTCACTCAGCAACAAGAAGACAGAGTTCATCTTTGTGGTAACTACTTGTATGCTGTCTTCTAAGCTCTTACACTGATCAAACTAGTAACTTTGGCTCATATTAAGCATTTTGAAGTCACTGGATTCTGACTTGTGTGCCACCAACTCATTTCTTTTCTCTAAAGCATTAATGTTTTGTATAAAGTTTGCAAATCTAATTAGATGTGGTTTGTCCCCTGAGTGAAAACAGCTACAGGCTTCTCTGTATCGGTGGTTTTGAGCGTGTAAATAAACAGTAATTTAAACATCCTACCAAGTCATCTGCTAAAAAAAAGATAAAAACTAAATTCAGTGTTTAAATATGAATGTTATTAATTATTAAAATTAATTATATAATCATTCACATTTACCAGTTCTGCCATGCAAGCAGATGTAGAATGAACATCAAAATCCATATTTAGAAATTAAGTGTATGAATGAATACACCATTTGGGTTATAATACAAAGCATTACAAATACAAAATTATGAATTAATCATATTGTTTTATATTCATACTCCCATTCTCTCTCCCTCTCTTTAGCCTGCAAATAAGCAGGTGTGTGTGGATGCGACCACAACATTAGGGGTCCGGGCGCAAGACCCGACCCCCTGTGGTTCAGAGAAGTCACTTCTAGGCTGGAATGCCTCACTGAGTCTACCTGTTGCAGAGAAACCTCGCTGGTACCTGGGCCGACATACTCCAGCTCACCTTGTACCCATTGAGATCACAGGTAAAGGTGACTTGGCATACTATCATGTTGAGTATATCTGTATATTTTTAAAGTCTTTTTAGAGTCCGGCCTGTTTGGAGGTGTCTTTGATGTGTAGTTTATGTTAAGAACTCTTTTTTAATGAAATGAGTCCATATCAAGTGGTGAGATTTTTTTCTGAGTACAGCTGATGTTCTGTTTGGGGGGAAAACATAGACAGACTGAACAATAGTGTCTCCTCACTAAGAAAAGTAAATTGAATGGTCCTAGGTCACCTGAAATAGTATTGGATGTTTTTGATCTTGCAAATTAAAACACATCATCATCATCATCATCATCCACCACTGACAACCCCGTTTCTCAGTTCTTCTGCTCTCTTTTCCAAGAGTTCACATAAGATTTCTCACATTCACATTTTATAATAAATGTTAAAGCATTTGCTCCTCTCTCAAGTTGTCACCCTGTTTTTTAAAGTGTGACATCACTTCCCTCTCTGTCTCAGCTGTCCCACACCCATCTCTCTAAATCTCCCCCTTGACTACCTTCCTGTTCTCCTCTCTGTCCTGGACTTAGTAGAGAGGTGGTTGGATCTGTAAACACAGATTATGCTGTGCTTAGGCAGTCTGGAGTCTGATTCCCAAAGTGTTGCTGCTCTTCACCCGCTAAAGATAATGAACAGGTAGCTGTTGCCATGGCAACATGCAGCTCTCCCTCCTTTGCTTAGCTATGAGGTGCAGAAAAAGCTGCATAGAGTGAGAGACAAACAGGGAGTGAGTGAGTGAGTGAGTGAGAGAGAGAGAGAGAGAGAGAGAGAGAGAACTGTAGCGGATGGGTGGGAGTAACAGGGCCAGAGGAAGAAAGATTTTTTTCACCTCCTTTTTGTTAGTATTTTCATGAATAAAGCCAGCTCACATGTTGGGAGGTAATGAGGTTTCGTTGGGTGTTTTCAGAGAGCTGTTTTCTGAGAGACACAAGGGGTATCCATGTAAAGAATATAATGAGACTGGGCTTAATTTGCACATTATGTTCAGTTCCTTTTATCATTGTGGAATGGTGGACCATTTATCACAGCACTCCCTCCTGCACGGGGTGTTTAAAATTATTAAACACCCAGTCCAATGCAGTTCTTGAAGACACATCAGCATTAAATTGTCCCACAGAAATTAAATTAAGTCACACAGATCTGCCACTGGCTAGTGTTTTGTCAATATCCAGCCCTTGTTTTGATGTATCCAGTGTCCATTGTCTGATTTCATTTCTCCAGATTAATCAGGCACCATGATCAAGTCTCCAGCTAACCATCTATCTCATGTTGGCTATTGTTTTTATCCATAAAAATATTTTTCTAATAAATTACCAAAATGTCTGTCATTACCCTTACGTCTGATTAGGCAGTCATGGCTAATGTTTTTCAGCCTAATCGTAACATGTATAGGATAAAATATCTTCTATATAAAAAATAAACATAATTTTTCTGACTGAAGACTGTCAGTTAGCTTGACAGTTGGTATCTCATATCTTGCCTCAGGCCAGAGCTTTGATAAGCACTCCACACAACACAGCGAACTGCGGGCTGCCTTTAGAACTGATTCAGCGGTCAACCCAAAGACCGTTCGCCGCCCGAGGAGTGTGGTTGCAGGCCCTGATGTCACGCTGCACTGCCAAGGTGACTAACAGGAAGTTAGGCAAGTTACTGACAGGGTCACAGAGTGCAAAAGAAAATAAACAGGAAAAGGACAATGGGCACTGACCAATGATTTCTACCTAGAGTAATTTGTAAATCTAATGTTTGTTAGAGCCACACATAGGCTTTGACAAATTGTCACATATTGCAATTTCAGTTAACAAAGTTCTGAATTACATCATTTAGAATCTTTACAAAAACGTGTCTAGGAATGAAGGACTAACTTCTGTTTTTGTTTTAAACTCTTTTTCAAAAACTATTTTGTCTTTAGGTGACAGCAAATTTCTTGCTGTTGATCTAATACAAGGTGCCTGTTCCCCTGGATCCTGTCAACCCAGATCTTTGGAGCCAACCACCGAGAACACAGGCCAACAGCATATTCCCCTTCGGAAGACCCAGAGTGACCTGGAGTACAGTGTCCCCCCATCCCCAAAGACCCCATCAGGCATGATGGATCATGCCACTCTGATGTGCCCAAGCCCCTCCTGGAATGGCCCAAAAGGTTCTACTTTCTCTCCTTCCTGGAATGACTCTTACAACTATGCCTTAGTTACCAGCCCTGCTTCCAAGCAACCAGTATCTAAAACTGGAATGTTAACACCTGGAGATGAAGGAGGTGGTCTAATCTGTCCATCCCAGACCAGTTCAGGCCTTTCCATGAGCTCAGGGTCACATTCCAGCTCTTTCACCTCCATCTTAGAACCATGTGGACACCGGGTGTACACAGTGTCCACACAGGGGGGTGGTGTTCCTATAGGGAAACGGAATGACATAGAGGGGGCAGTTTCCACTGTAGGCACAGGAAATAACAAAAGTGAGCAGGAGAAGAGATCAGCCCGGTCCAGTGTTTTCAGGTTCCGTGAACGTTCACTTTCAACACCAACAGACTCTGGATCATTTTGCTCAGCAGATAATATATGTTCTCCAGGTGAGGCCGTCCCTGTCGTTTCAGAGGTTGAGAGTTATGCCCTGTTATATCCAAGCAACAGCTCAGAGGATAGCATGAGCACTGATAACGTTTCTGTGACCACAGGTTCAGACTTTCTTCTAGATGGTCGACTGAGGTCACAATCACGCAGCATCTCACTAAAGAAATCTAAGAAAAAACCACCACCTCCAGTACGTAGTGTATCCCTGATGAAAAACCTATCAGAGGTTGGAGGAATAGGATCCTACCACAGTGAAGGGCACTTCAGAGATGGCAGACCCAAAAGTCTCTTTATCCCCCGAGATCACCATATTCAATATTCATTCCAGCCTGAGTTCCTAATCGCCAAGCCTGAGGATGACACAGATCAAGCCCACAGTAGCTTGGAGACATCTTCTGATATTTCTCAGCCTGCTGACAGGGAAACAGAGCTTGGATTTTCTCCTCACTGGCAGCTCAATGAGTGGAAGTCTAACAACGATCCATACCGCTCACTGTCGGGTTCAAGTACAGCCACAGGTACCACAGTGATTGAGTGCATGAAGGTGCGGGGCAGCTCAGAATCCCTAAATTCACCCTCAACCTCACGAGCCACATCTCCATCACAGTTCTCAATTGAGGCTGAGACCAAGGTATCCCCCTTCAAGCCCCCATGTCTCATGTCCCCATCCAGTGGCTACTCAAGCCAGTCTGAAACTCCAACCCCAACTATATCAAACACCTTTATCACTGGACCTTCTCCAGTTGGCTGCAAGATGCGCCCAAAGATTCCAGAGCGTAAATCTTCTCTCCCAGCTTCTGCAAAGGATAAATCACGTTCACGTCTTTCATTTGAACTACCTGCAAACTCTCAGCTGGATCTGTCCTCTGTCAAACCCAAGATGAAAGCCAGCCGACGCCACTCTGACACATCTACAGCCAACAAACCAGGTAAACTGAGCCCTAGTCAGTCTTCACTGCCTATGGTTACAACAACAGACTTGCGTAACATCCGACTTCGTTCAATAAGCCGCTCAGAACTTGAGGACAGTCCTGATGGCTCTTCTGACATTATAGAGGAAGAGCAAAGTCGAGATCTAAGCCCTCCTATTACTCCCTCTAACACAAAACAGTCAAAGCCACCAGTTGCAGTGAAGCCACCTCTGCCTAAACGACCAATGAACTTGATGCTTAAATCTCCCTCATCCTCCCCTCTGGCACCTGAATCTCCTCCATCTTCCCCTGTGGACAGACCCATGCCTTTGGGTAACATCTATATGGTTGTGAGAAAGCCCAAACCTAAGAGACCAGCTCAGTCATCACTCAGCACCTCTGCAATAGCCCCACAAGTGCCACTCCACAGCCATGTACCTCCTCTCCCTGAGTTTGATCTGGAGCATGGGATTCCTATTGAAGAAGATCCTCCATCCCCAAGTAGCCCAGAAAGTGAGGACAAATGTAAGACCCTGCCAAGTAGAATGACAATATCCTGTTTAGCAGAATTAGACAAAAGGAAGCCCAAGGTACCTCCTCCAGTGCCGAAAAAACCCAATGTTTTTCTTCTGCCCTCTCCAAGCATTCAGACCAATGGTGGGGCAGAAAGGCAAACTCTACTGTCCAACAACATCTCCCAATCACCTACAGGTCCATCAGCATCTAACATTGAGGGAGATTTGCTTAAAGATGAAGATCAAGATGATCCTGCAAAGGAAAATTTAGATGGAAACTATAAAAATTCTGAAAGTTACGAGACCTCTGGAAATCACGAGAATGATGTGGTAGTTGAAGAGAACAGTTCAAAATATTCAGCTTATCATCAAATTACGGAAAGAGTGGCACCTCCAGCAAAGACAGTAACAGGTTAAACATTTGTTTACATTTTCCGTTAAGATGTTCAGGCAGAATGCTGTTTTCTAGGTATAGTAATTTCGGGGTTTAATTTATGTTCTTTTATGCTGCCCCACAGAAACTTATGCAGAAACAGAAATACTGGAAGAGAACAATTCTGCTGTTGACAATACCGAACTATACATTACAGAGGAAACAGACGATGATGTTTTTGTCCACACACCCACAACTCACACGACTGAGGACCTCTTTACCATCATACACAGGTAAAATTTGCAGTTTAACATTCATACTGATTCATTTAGCTATTTCTCTCTGACTAAACTTACTTTGGTATAATTTGGCATAATGAATACAAATGCAGACATGGTCTGGTACTGGATATCATGGACTATGTCTTCTAGTGGAGAGGCCACTGCAATTAGACACTTCATTTCAATTGTCCGACTGAAAAAAATATATATATATTTTAGCCAACGTAGAAATGTGTAAATATACAATGAATGATTAGCCAGCCCTCTTAAACTCTGTCACGTCATTATAATCAAATATATCAAATAGTGTATCATTGGGATATACAGTGTATGTCAGTGGAGGGCCAATGCCCTGCAGAGTTTAGTTCAAATCAGTAACTCTCTAGGTGTCTTTAATTAGGGTTGGAGCAAAACTCTGCAGGGAGTGGCCCTCCAAGTTCATATTTGAACTGTGACACAACATTTGTATTATTCTGCTTTTCCTAGGTCAAAGAGGAAAGTTCTTGGTCGCAAGGAACCAGTGGATTCTTTTGGAAGCAGGCAGTGTCTGGTCTCACCTGTGAAAAGCAGTAGCACAGACCTCCGAACTCTAGGCCTTGGGACCACTCCTAGGTCAAGCTCACGAAATGAGAACTTTATTGCTCTTCTCCAGAAGAGAAGCAGCAAAGCCAGCAGCGGGACCCGAGTGTCTGCCATGGAGTTGCTGAAGAGCACAAACCCCTTGGCACGACGAGTCACTGAGTTCTCTCAGTCACAGCCAGATGGGAGTGCAATGAGCACACCAAAACCAACTCCACAGGAAGAGTGATTCCACTTGTAGAGAACCACATGCTGGATATCAGTATGGCTGGTTTTCTGTTTCACCCCACTTCCCATCTAAATGGTTTAATTTACAAAGACCTCATGCAGAAGGAAATTAAGTGAATTTGAGTTTTTGCTTTCAGACAAGGGGATCACACTCTGATGATGAAAGATTGTTGTGGAGTATAGTCAGTATTAAAGGAAACAGCCCACCACTGATATACAACTCTGGCATAGAAATCTGCTATTCTGGAAATATGAATGCAATGATGAAACTCTTGAATGGAAACGGACATCAAGAAATATTTTCAGACTGTTCACTATTTTAGGAGCCCAGCCTATATTTGTGGCCAAAGCCTGCTCTGCCCATTTCAGTGGTGGACTAGAAAGTGTCTTAGTAGGATAATTATGTTTTAATAGACTGCACAAACTCGCACAGAGAGAGGAGTGAATGACATTCCACAAAGGTTGTAAGAAAGGTCTGGTACCCATAAAAAGGAAGCACTTTCACCAGTACAGGAACTAGTTTACAAGACAAAAAGCTATATTTGTTATTTTCCATTGTTTTTTGGTTTTGTTTTATTTTTTCAAAAAATATGAAAGGCCATATATTGTTTATTTTAATCTGAAAAAAAAACTATGTATACAATATAAATATAAGAAAATGTAACTGCTTGATCAAAGACACAACAGACACAAAGCTGTCCATATCTGTGACTATTCTTGGGAAACTGCCTATTATTTTATAAGCTCACTGCACACAAGGGATTGAAGTGGTCATATTAACCCATCATCATGCAATACACCTGAACCCACATCTAGAGATCTTCCCACACTGCCAGAAATGTAAACAGCAAACAACAAATCAAAATTGTCATAGACAAAACACACCTTTGAAAAGGAAATATGTGGACAATACAACATGAGGGAATAGCACAGAAAGTGAAAGTCCAAGGGGTGGACACTAGACTACAGAAGAGGGTTCAGTAAGTGTTATCAGTGGGTCACTGGTAAGTTCTGGCTGTCGATTGTGTCAAATCTCTCAGGGGTTTCTTTGCAACTCAGGAAACCCATCATGGCTAACAGTCCAAGTGTATATTCTCTTCATAGATATTTCACTCACTCATCAACACACAAATGATCAGACAGGAGATTTACTGAGGCCTATGGATGGCAAAAGAAGACCGAATTCATATATCTCTCATTCTTGCCTCCACATTTTTTCCAGAAAAACTAGACAGCACTTATGACCACAATTCCAGATCATCTTGCATGACATTGGATCATTCAAATCCAAGTGCAAATCTTCTCACTTTATGTCCATTTCAGACTATGCATCAGAGATAAATCAGACTTGCCCTTCTGTCAGCACTGGCAGTAAACACCTGTGAACGTTAGGAAAGGGTGAGGCAGAGCTCAGCAGTGTTATGTTTAGATTCAATTTTTGACGAAAAAGAACATAGTAGAAAATACTTTTTTAATGGTTGCCCTCCATGTAACTGCAAGACCAGATTGTAGATCGACGTTTGAATGCACAAAGACTTTGCAGGCTTTGATCAAATGTGGTAATTCACTTAAGGACTTGAGTAGGTCATCTGTGGTAAACTGACCGTAATCCTACATTAAGGGAATTTTGGAGACTACTGCAGACAGAGGATCTACAGCAGGCAACCACAGAGACTGAGACTTCAGAGATGGCTTCTTCTTACCATTCCATATGAAGTGACCCTTCCTCATGTGACTGTTCTTCTGGCTCCCAATCAGACAGTGGACAGAAACCTGGTGCTATTGAGCCAGAGCGCCCTCAGCAGTCCAGGAAGTGCTTGGCAAAAATCTGTTCTTAGTCTGGAACAAGATCGAGATGGATCTTTTCTTGATGTTCATCTTCTCAGACTAGTCGTTCAAGTATTCTGACAATATGAAAAGCATAACGTGAAAAAAGTGGCAGAATACCACCACATTAAAATAGTGTGTGACACTTGTTTTAAATATTTAGTGAATGAAAAAAGTCTGACAACCAGTGTTTATTTGCCTTGTACTCTGGCGTGAAGCCTCTGTGTTTTTAAATGCCTTGGTATTGCACTTCCATAGAAGTATACAGCGTTTCTTTTACTCTTTTAAGGATTTACTATAATATTTATCACTACTCTTGTGTACTCTGTGCTTAACCCTATCAATGTCAACTTACATTTATGTATAAAATATTTAGCCAGGAACAAAATAAGTTTGAATAAAACACATCCGACTGTTCACTCTCATAATGTGTATAACCTAGAATAACATTTCTAGGTTATAGGCCTACACACACAAAAAAAGAATCTTGGTATATTCTTGGTATTTTCACAATACCAAAAGAGATGAGACAAATCTTCAGTCATCAAAAATAAACCTTTGTAGAAAACACTTTGTAGGATAGCATCGATGTATCATTTCATAAGACACTTTTTTCATTTTATCATAAAGAACTTCTGAGGCAAAATCCACACTCTTTCCCAGTTAATGTTACCTACATGTCTGTTCCAATAAAAGACGGCATTATAAGAAGCTACCTCATGCTGGAGCACAATAAAAACACTCCCGACTTCGTGGCAAGGGATAATTTACCAATAACTGTTTCAAACACATTAAGATGTGGCACAACCTGAGACAAGTTATTAAATCCCTTCATAAACATAATCCCAGAAACGATGACTCCAAAAACAATAGCAAATTCCGTTGCTGTGACTGGGATTTTATAGTGAGACATAAAGTCCTCATATTTAAAAGGTATTCCTTTGTCATTAAACCACACAAAATATTATAATTCCACATCAAATTTATGTAATCGCTTCCATCATAAGAATTGTGAGCAATATTGCCCCCTTGTGGATTTATTTGTACCCTCCATTTTTGCTGTTTATCAAACTTCTGCAGCGCTCACTTTTAGCAACCGCAAGCACCGCAGCACTTCTGCAAACAGTTGTTTTCCGTTGTGTACTGGGAAATGTTTCTGATCCACGAGGCCATCATGTGCAATTACAAAAGGTCAAAACTATTATTTTTTCAAATGTTGAGTAATACTACCGTTCAAAAGTAGGAATTTACTAAGATGTTCTAATGTTTTGAAAAAAAGAAGCTTACCAAGGCTGCATTTATTTGATGAAAAATACAGTAAAAATTGTAATATTGTGAAATAATATTTATATATACTTGCTTTATTCCAGTGATAGCAAAGCTGATTTTTTAATAGATCTTACTCCAGTCTTGAGTGTCACTTGATCCTTCAGAAATTAATCTAATACACTGATTTGGTGCTGAAGAAACATTTCTTATTATTATCAATGTTGAAAATGCTATGTAATATTTTTTTGGAAACAGGCATACATTTTTAACAGGATTCTTAGAAGATTCTTTGAAATAGAAACCTTATAAATTCATTCAATGCTGTATTAGCATTCTGTATCAATATAATGCATACTTAAAAAAAAAAAAAAAAAAACCATACTGACCCCAAACTTTTAACCAGAATTTCTGAAATGAGCACATATATATATTTTGAGATGAACTACTTGGGATTTTCAGATTTTTTGAGATGATCAAAACAAAGTTGTATAAGTGAAAGGATAATATTTGGGATTAAAAAAAGCGTGTACTTGTTAAAGAATACATATTTTATTATTATATGTTTTTATTTTCAATGTGTGTGTGTGTTTGTATTTTGTATTTTATATTGCATATAGCTGGTCTGTACAGAAGACAAAAGTTATTGATCACATATATATATTTTGAGATGAACTACTTGGGATTTTCAGATTTTTTGAGATGATCAAAACAAAGTTGTATAAGTGAAAGGATAATATTTGGGATTAAAAAAAGCGTATACTTGTTAAAGAATACATATTTTATTATTATATGTTTTTATTTTCAATGTGTGTGTGTGTTTGTATTTTGTATTTTATATTGCATATAGCTGGTCTGTACAGAAGGCAAAAGTTATTTGTAGGCCATTTATGATATTTATTAAATGTCTTCACACAAGACTTTGAGCACGATTGCAACCTATTTGACAGTAAAGTAATATGATTTTTTGTAAATGTGATATAAGAAACAGGATAGGGTTAATGAAATGTTCAAGAGATCTGTGTCAAAAAGGATTTCTTGTTTTTTAGGTTTTTTTTGTGATCAACTGTGCATAGTGCTGGTTCTAGTATTTTAGTCAGATCAAACACATCATGGAGCAAAGTTCAGTTATCGTACTACAGTTACTACCAAGATAAAAGCTAGTCATACTTGAACCGACTTGAACCTTCAGACCTTTGTTTTATGGCATGCGCAGTTAAGGAGGTGGGAATGGCAGGAAAAGCGAGACCTGATCCCAGCCACCGGCACAGCCCATACTAATGCATTCCCAGTGCTTCCTGGTGCTGCATCACAGTGAAGGCTGTGAGCTTGTCAAACGCTGAGCTGCCAGTGGTATATTTCCTGTTGCTGACAGGCGAGGAGCATAGCAGAGGCTGCACTGAGCTGTGTGTAGGGACTCGCATTTTATCAGCTGGAGTGCACACAGACACACTCAGAGAGCACCCCTTCACAGGAAGAGCTGCTATCACTTCTCAGATACACAGACGCAGAGGCAGCACTGACACTGAACCTCTTACCAACGGCCCATAAACAGGAGCTGCTCCACAGATGGACTGACTCCCTCCACCAAGAGTTTGACTGATGAAAACAAGTGGGATCTGCTTTTTTCTGTTTTCACCTGATCCGAGTATCTACCCAGGAAGTGTTATGGTTTTGTTCTACATGGGATCGGATAAAACCTCATCTACAGTCATGCAGCCTGAGAATCCTGTTCGCCAGGACATGCAGTTCTACTATGTGGTGAGTAGGGGAATCTATTTATTTAGTCATTTATCAGACGCTTTTTTCCAAAGTGACTTACAAATGAGGACAACAGAAGCAATCAATTGTAGTATTAAAACAACTAAAAACAGATCCAAAACTAAAAGCTAAAACTTTATAAATACTACCTATGCACATTTTAAAAATAAAGAGATTAAATAAAAATGACAAATGCATACAACAAAATTTCAAAACTTAACATTTAAATGAAAAACAAAAAATAAAGCTGTATATGTACATACACGTGTATAAACTCAATATATATATTATTTCATTTCCATTTAGTTTGTTGAAGTATTAAAATAACTCAAATTAAATTAATAAAAGACCTATACAGACATAATAAATGCAGACATAATGTAACTAAAATTTAAATAAATAACAAATACAAATAATACAAATCAAATGATAGTAGTTTATCAGTAATCCTAAAAAGTAACACTGCCAAACACACATGCTAAAAAACAACAACTTACTTACACATAGTAAGAAATGGTTATAAAAACTGAAACAGAAGCAAAACAAGTAATAGGAAAGAGGAGAAATAAAAAGCGATACTTATCCTTTGCCGGTGTCCTTGCCCGGTGGAGTCGCACTCTTCGGTCTTCACACGAGGAGGTCGTCACGCGAGGCTGCCGTGGTAAATTAAGCTTTTTCATACCCATCTAACAAAATACTAAATTAATTCAGCTGGACACACTTTCCTTATTTTCTCCACAACAAATGGCCAAGC